TGTCTGTTTTGTTGCTAGTCATTCTCCTTTAAAGTTATTAAGGTCGCGAGTTACTTTCAAATATTAAACGATTAAGCTTTTCATCAAAGTTATCCGAGAGCTAATGGTCATGTCCTCCGACTTCCGTTCCAGCACAATGAAATAATTTGAGCCAGATTTATCTTAGAAAGATTTTTTTCGTCTTGTCACGAGCGTGGGACAAAGATCAAATCCTGAGTCGCCATGAGGAATAGAACCTCAGACCTTCGGATTCTACGCTCCGATGCTCTACCACTGAGCCAAGTACAGAGACTCTATGGTGAGCAGGGCTCATTACGAAGTTCATATTTGACTCGCTCCCTGCATACTGCTAGGATAGGCAATGTCGACCGGTAGATTTATCTTCCTTCCACTGAAATATCGACACTTCCATATATCTCACAACGTAGAACAATTATGTAAAGGATGTGCTTTACACAATATCTTGTCCCTCATTTTCATTACGGAATAAGTTGGAGACCTGCCAAGGATTAAAAAGCAGAGGCTCTGAAGATTAGCAGTACACTATTATTTAATGGCAGTGATTGAAAAAACAGATTTGATGTGTTGCCCATTGCACTGTCAACGAGAAATCGAAGCTCTCTTCAAGTCTCTTTGCGAACATAAAGCTTGAAAACTTTAATTTACCTTCTTGTTATGCGTAATCCTTGAAATAATTATGTTTGTCGAGAAATCAAGTCAATTGTATAGCAACCTAAGGAGGATTGTTAAAAACGTCTTCTTTATTGCAACTGACCATTGAGAAAGGTAAGGGGGGGCTTCATTCGGTATTTTTTTCAGTAGGCACTGATCTAAATGTAGAAACCTTTGATGCTTAGTATTCTTATCCTTTTCAACCCTCTCGGCATAATCCGCACCAAAGTCTGTACTAATCATTTCATATTGATCTAAACAGGACAGAAAAACAATAAATTCAGGTAAAATAAGCCTCACAGTTTATTTCATTTACTCTAATTTAGAATGTAGGCCTGTTGATGTGGCAGATAATGATATAATTTCAGATGCCATAATAACAGCAAGCAGTTTGGCGTGTATTAATTATCATCCATCCTACGGCAGACTAAACGAAAGCAGGGTAAACGGATCGTGGTCTACTAAGACTACATCTGATAGAACGGATTATCTTCAAGTTGATATGGGTGAGGTACGTTCTGTTTGTGCTGTGGCCACACAAAGATTACGATGGACCTCTGCATGGACCACCAGCAACACACTACAATTATCCACAGACGATAAAGTTTGGAACACTTACAAGGAGAAAAATATTGAAAAGGTATGGAGAGAACTGTAATTGACATTTTCAACAACTAGCAAAGAGTTTGAAGTCAATGCAAATAATTGGCAAAGAGAGCGCGTACACTTAGATGGTGAATTTGGGCGCTTATCCTCATTGGTCTCTGGAGCAGGGAACAGTCATCGGAGATTATAAGCTTGTGTATAACGGGTGTTGCTTAGAAATTTTTAAAGGAATCTAATGCATCTTTTGGTCGAGATGAAACGTCGTTTAAACTAGACAAAAAGTATTTTTCCCAAATAATTCACTTTTTTTTAAGATGAAATTGGTTAAAAAACCTTTAAATTCGAACTGGAGCCAAATATTTTAACGGAAGGCAACGACTTAAACAGAGGTAGTCCTTCTATTCTTACGTTTGGTGCCTAAAGTTAGAAATGTNNTGAGGAGGATGAATGAGGAGGAGGAATGAGGAGGAGGAAAGAAGAGGAGGAGAGAGGAGGAGGAAGAACAATAGAAAATATACGATCCCACATGAACGAGATGGACAGTTTTGTTTCGTATATAAGAAAAACAAACATTTGGTTCTATATGAGCGCGCACTTTGAATTATTATAATTAATATTTCAAAGTACGCGTTCTTTTAAAGTTTGTTAGACATAACGGTGGATGTATACAATATGATAAAACTCCAAGTTTCTACCTCCACACTCATTTCTTACCTGCTCACGGAGAGTGTGGACGATGGCGAGTACTCAAGATCTTTCCGCAGTTCTGAAGTCGTATCGAAAAAAAATGCATGCTATTCATGCTCGCGTAAAGTATCAGGAAAATGTGTTGAAGGAATATAAAAAACATGCTGAGATTGGAACGATTCCCAAAGATTGAAATCAACGAAAAGTTACCCTAAGATGCAAAGTCCTGAAGCTCAAAAACGTTTCAATGAAGCATACCATCAAGTATTATGTACGGTCTTAGATCAAGCGATTCAAGAGATTGAAAAGAATCTTGCTGCACACAAAGAACAATATCAATCCTTGGTACAACAGCGACAAAGTGAGCGAAAGTATTGGAATGCAGGAAAGAAAAGACACCCAAGATATCTCACCACACACGGGTGAAAACTGAATCGGTTGAATTACACAACAAAATACGATAAACTCTGTGCAAAGTTAGACACATTCTCAAAATCTAGGGAGAACAAAGATATCTTAGACACGGTTGAAGAGGATGCAAGTGGTGTATGAGGCGGTGATAGGTTAGGGAATGTGGTGAGACAATAATACATAAAAAGCAGAGAATCTTAAACTTTTTCATTAGTATCGCTGTGACACGAAATGGGAGTCGCGTTATCTTGATAAACTAGCGACTAGACGACAAAGTATAAAGACGATAAAGAAAATCAATAGTAAACACCTAAACGATTGATGAGATTTCAAAAAGGAAATGTCATAATATACGCCAAGCTATTATTTTTTGTCGCAATTGAAACGACTTTGGATAACATTTAGCTCTTAAGAAGCTGCTAAATATGCCACAAATTAAAGTGGAAAAATGCCTCATGCAGATTACGAAACAACGGCTTAACCTGCACTTCATTCCAAATATTGCCATCTCAATTTGACCAAAACGTGCACCTTTGAGAGGGCTCGATGGAGTCAAACGTTAGGAAAATAAATATTTTCCAAAAAGTTCCTGTCGTAAGAAAATTGATAACAAGATATGAAGCCCGACCTATCTGAAATGTCGATCTTACTTCATGAAAAATTAATGATTTTCATTCAAGAGGTTATGCAATATTTGGCCACCTAGATGAAATGATTCAAAAACATATTTTTACCATCAAGAATCCGTGAAGCACCTTTAATTCAACATAGAGCGACTAGACGACAAAGTATAAAGACGATAAAGAAAATCAATAGTAAACACCTAAGGGATTGATGGAATTTTTACCATCAAGAATCCGTAAAGCACCTCTAATTCAACATAGAGCGACTAGACGACAAAGTATAGAGACGATAAAGAAAATCAATAGTAAACACCTAAACGACTGATGAAATTTCAAAACGGAAATGTCATAATATACGCCAAGCTATTAATTTTTGTCGCAATTGAAACGACTTTGGATAACATTTAGCTCTTAAGAAGCTGCTAAATATGCCACAATTTAAAGTGGAAAAATGCCTCATACAGATTACGAAACAACGGCTTAACCTGCACTTGATTCCAAATATTGCCATCTCAATTTGACAAAAACATGCACCTTTGAGAGAGCTCGATGGAGTCAAACGTTAGCCGCAAACCGTAAAAGAAAAAAGGAAAAAAAGGTGGTTAACGTAAAAAAAAAATGTTTAAACCGTAAGTCGTGAAAAAGGGAAAAATTGTCAATCTACGATGTGTCATTTTGGCGTATTCATAGGATGTTATGGGTCTTGTCTTGTGGTTAATTAACCTTACAAGCCATCTCTCCATTGAGACCCGCAGAAAGTGACAGGTGTTTTAAGATGTGCAATAACAGGAACAATCGAAAACAAATGTTTTTCAGAAAGTTCCAGTCGTAAGAAAATTGACACCAAGATATGAAGCTCGACCCATCTATAATAGCAGTCTTACTTCATGAAAAATTAATGATTTTCATTCAAGAGGTTATGCAATATTTGGCCACCTAGATGAAAGGATTTAAAAACATATTTTTACCATCAAGAATCCGTGAAGCAGTTTTAATTCAACATAGAGCGACTAAACGACAAAGTAAACTATATCAGGCTCCAAGTGTCTTCACCTCAGTACACCCAACTACCACTGGTAGTATATGATATAGTCAGTTCCGACTGCTCTTGCTTAATTTGAATATTTATCCCGACTTTTCTAAAATAGAGAGCTTAATGGGGTTCACCGTTAGCCCCAAAAAGGCAAAAAAATCAGCGGTTAATCTTAAAGAATGACATTTTTTAACCGTTAGTCGTAAAAAAGGCAGAAATGTGGTTAATGTGGTTGCGTGGTTATCTACACCGGTAACAAAAACAAAAATATTTTATTCAGGTCCCGCAGGGTCATATTCCGCGAACCAAAAATAACCTCCTTTCGCCTGTGGGATGAGTTGACAGACAGCTGACTATTTTTAGGATTTCAATTTTCTTCATCCAGTTTGTGAGTTATGGTTGATAAACTATCAACCTTTTCACATAATTGAAATTTATTTTTATTACTTCTGCTGCATGATCGTGCTGTTTTGAGATGTGGAATAACAGTAAGTACCAGTCCTTAGAAAACAGACACCAACCCATCCGTTCAATTATAAAATAAATGATTGAGTTTCATTTAGACAATATTTTTAAAATATTCGGCCACCGAACTAGGTGAAATAGCTTTTGAAAATATTTTTCACTCAAGAACCCGCTAAACACCTTTAATT